TTTTTTTATTTTCCTTGTCACATGCTTACAACACAAATCACACTTTTTATAATGCTGTATAATCTGTTACAACCTCTTATACATCATATCACTGGCAATGGCTGTTAAGTTATAATGGTTATAGAAACTAAATGATTTCCCCCCGTCATTGCCAGTGCACGCTTAACACACTATTTTTTCTTTCCTTAAACTCCAACTCAAATTATACAAACTTAATAAAATGATAGTTATTGTTATCCCGAAGAATTTCTCTTATATCTTATCTATAATATATTATGCGTTTTAATTACTCTTAAATAAAAAGAATAATCAGCGGCCACAAAATTTAAATCTTTGTGGCGGAGTTCTTGGGGATTGCCACCTCTGTATGGGGCTTTGGAAATTCCAAAGGGGGTCTTCCTCTAAGGCCCCACCCTCTGGGAGGTGGTAGGGGAGTTCCTTCCAAGTGCCTTTCCCGCTATGCTCCTATTATACCTTAATGTCACTATGTTTAAAACAAAATATTAATATTAAATCAGCTTATCTGAAATTAAACCTGTTGTCATCACATTTTTTGTCCGAAACTTAAAGTTCTAGAGCACTTAACATTTCCTCTCCGGACTTGATATCATGGACGTTGAAGGTTCTGCCTTTATAATTTATATATAAATGTCCCAGTGGTAGCCAACGATACCTAATTTGTTTTTCTGTCAACCTCTTTGTAATTGGTTTCAGATTCCGACGTGCTGTCAAGATTTCGGATGGCAGGTCCTGGAACACTTGTATTTTAATGTCTTCTAATTGAAGTCCATTATTTTTTCTTGCGGCTTCTAAAACGATGTTCTTCACTTTAATGTCTGTTAGCTCAGCAAGAATGTCTGGTATGAGTGTGGGCGAGGTTGTTTGGAGTGGCTTCAGCCGATAAGCTTGGCTAATTGGTGCAGCTGGCAGTTGCAATAATGCCTGAAGCCACACATTTAAAGTGTCTGTGAGGTCTTTCTCAGTAGAAAAATTTGGTGAGATCCCCCTGAATTTAATTTTTCGTTCCCGTGCCTTTATATCCAAAAGAATAATTTTGGACTTACTCTAATGGGGGGGGGAGTCTTCATCCGATGGTTGCATAGTTTGCTCACTTTGTTGAGCTTCCTCGTTATTTTTCTTGGCTCCTTTCCCTCCTTTCCCTCCTCTTTGCCTCCCCATCCTTATCAACGAGTAGTTTTAGTCTTTATAGTCCTCAATTAGTTTTTATTTTGCGTTTTTTTGGAGCAAAGACGCGGAGGCTCTCTTGGTCTGTCTGCGCAGTCTCCCAGGAAATTTTCAAGAAAACTCTTGGGCAAAAGAGAAGCCTGTTCCTGGCTGGGGATGAGGGAAAGGGATGGTATGGATTGCTGTATTAAGTCATTATGCATTCCTTGGTGCCAGAGGAAAAAACGCAGAAGTCTGTATCAAAAGTCTGTGTTAGAAAGATAAGTAACTTGGAATCAAACTCAAGTGATGATCCTACACTGACCTGTGAAAATTATCCTAGACCTAACCTGCTAAAGGTGCCCCATGCACTTACATTTGAAAGGGTTAAAGTGGTCTGAAGAAACCCGTATAAATAGCAAGCAGGGTGCATACTCCTCACAGGTAATCTGGCATCCAAAGAAATAAAATGGCAGATTGACCTTCAGTGGACAGCAGCTGATGAAGAATCAACCTGATGAAGAATCAACAGTGGTAATACCAGTTACTTGTGCGGTATACGAACTATCCATATGCCCTCATGATGGAACTGTAATGGAAAAGCACCTGCTTTCCTGGTATTTCTATCTATGACCATTTTGGTACATTTTTCTCTGCCCTCCCCTTCCATCTTGACATGGGACAAGCTTTGCTTCTCCCATTCTTTGTATGGGATAGTAAACAATTTTGAAAAGACTCTACAGCATGGTTAGGGAGGAACAGAGTGAAACAATGTGCCAAACAGCCTCAAATGGGTCCACAGTCTATCAAAAAACAAAAAAACAAAAACCCTAACCAGTTCCCTGTTCCCAATTGGCAAACAGGACATCAGCTGAACTGGCAAGCATTCAAGCAACCCTAAACATACTCCTGTAGTACTAGATTGCAGGACGTCCCCTGCAGTCTAATAATCTAGACCGATACATCCTCTATGGACAAAGGGATCATCATCAATAACTGATTGAGAAGCCAGTTACAATTGACCCAAACCTTCAGCTTTGCATATCTTCCCAAAGGTGGTCAGGATTCTGCTCATCATCACCCTGCAGTACCAACCACAATACTGATTGATCTGATCCCGGAAAATTGTTGTTAGTGCATTATGTTGTTATTCCCCCTAAGGCAGGAAAAAGTTGTGTCCGTGTGTCTTCCTGGCTGATCTCTGGCCTTTTTGGTCAAGGAGTCACACACACTGCAAGATGCTTACTAAATACTGTGAATTAAGTACTTGCTTTATTTTCTTTGGGACTGTAGTCTTTTGTCCCCCCTTTCCCTGTATCTTCTCTGTACCAAGTACATTCTAAAACTGAACTGAATATCAAGCTATTTATGACTCTTCACACACCTAGGCTGCTGTGTTGTCATTCTACTGAAACCCAGGTTGATAAAAGATGGGGAAGGGCTTGTCTCATGGTGATGAGAAGAGTGCTAGAAACCCACTTGGTAGAAAGTATCCCCATATATATTCCTCCCTTTCTGTGATACAAGCTGGTTTCAGAATAAGTTAGAGAGTGTGTGGGATTCCCTCTCTATCCTAGCTAATCTCCAGTACCTAAACTGTCTCAGGCACTGAGTGAATGCAGGAAATTCCATTTCAGGAAATAAATGTGTAAACAGGAAATAGAATAGACAAGTTGAGGACCTGTAAGGACTTGCTGGGCAGCATCTCATTTTGACACTCCCCAATGTTTCCTTTTACCCTTCTCTGAAAGCCCCCCATAGCCTGTCCCCTTTTCCTGTTTCCTTCTCTCCCTCACATCCACCAACCAATCTGCCTTCATGTCTCCCCCCTCTTAAGCTTTCCCTTCTTCCATCCCCCAGGCAGCTTCTCCCTCAAAAACTCTGTGAAGTGCTGGCCACCAAGCGAAGTCCATTTGCATGGTGGGGAACCTGCAAGGACCTGTGGGGGCTCACTTCACTATCCCCTATATCCCACTCAGCATATTATTTCCTCTTTTCTTTTTGGCAACCCCCATTTCCTCAATTTTCTCTGCTTCCTTTTCTTCTTCCCACCCACACACCAAGCATCCTTTTATCTGCCCCCATCTTCAGTTATATTTATTTACTTAATTTATACCCTACCCTTCTCTACAATGGAGACACAAAGCAGCTTGCCTCATTCTATTTTCTCCTCACAGCAACCCTGTGAGGTGAGTTAGGCTGATAATGTTTAACTGACCCAAAGTCACTCAGTGAACTTCCATGACAGAATACAAATTCAAAACTGGGTCTCCCAGATCCTAGTCTGAAACTCTAACCACTAAACTACACTAGATTTTGTACGATGGCTACTGTTGAACAACAGCCAGCAGCTGGGACTGTGTGAGACATGAAAACGTTGTGGTGTCAGGTTGCCCAGTGGGTGATGCTGAGCCTGACCCCAATGAGTCCTCCATCAAAGGCCAAAACAACCCTGGAAAGGGCCCTGACCCCTCCCCCTGCCTTTTGCCAACAGAACTCAAGATTAGAAGGCTGGCAATGCTGTTGTAGTTGACTAATAATGGCTGCTGGGGGCATTCATTTCTTAAAGCTGCTTCTATTATGGGGGGGTGTTAACCCCGCTTTTTAAAGATTTCAAATTTTTGTGAAAACATAGGGCTTTTCTCAGGTTTGTAGAAAGATTTGCCTTTTACTAACAGAAGTAAGACTAGAAGGCTGGCCATACAGTTGTACTTGCCTAATAATGGTTGCTGGGGGCATTTGTTTCTTAAAACTACAGGGTGCTGCTTCTATTATTTGGAGGGTTAACTGCCGCCCTTTTTTTAGATCTCAGATTTTTGTGAAAATCTGGGCTTTTCTCAGGTTTGTAGAAAGAACTGTCTTGTCTGTTCATAGTTCCAGTTTCTGGATTTAAGTATCCACAGGTTTTGCCATGTTGAGAATTAAATATATTGATAATGGTATGATATGAAGTGTTTTCTAGATTGGCTGTGCAGTGTTACTCATCCCCAACATTCTTTTGTACAAAAACTAATTCAGGAAACTTCAGCAGCATATATACTAAAATTGGAATGATATGGAGAAGATTAGCATGGCCCTTCAAAGGGATGACACCCAAATTTCTGGAGTGTTCCATATTTTTTCAGCTCAAGGTCTTTAGGCTGATAGAGCTGTGTGATTAAAGTAAAGTAATTCAGAACAACATGTAGTTCATGTGATGATTGCAATAATCACAGTTTGGCCTATTGTATAAAACAAATGCTGTCGTCATATAAAGGCAATAACTATTAACATGAGAAGTACTTATATCAATTAATTTTTCTTCTGAATTTACCCTAATTCTAATTCATTTTAAAGTACTGAGGATCATAGTCACAGAAGGAAGATACATGGCTAACGACAATCAACATCAAAAACAATATTTACTTAATGTATTTAAAATATGTATTAGCCACCTTTCTACCTTATAGGAACTTTAAGGCAGCATACAAGGTCCTAAAACTGATAGACAACTTAAAAACTGAAAAATCACCAGGCCCAGATGGCATACATCCGAGAGTTCTGAAAGAACTCAAATGTGAACTTGTAGATCTCCTGACAAAGATATGTAATCTTTCCTTAAAATCTGCCTCCATTCCTGAGGATTGGAAGGTAGCAAATGTAGATAATTGTGCAGCTGCCTCTGAAAAGGCCCTTTCTGGTATACTCATCAGACGAATTTCTTTGGTTGACTGGACAGTCAAGAGGGCCTCTCCCTATGATCTTAGTTCTCAGGCAGGAACATATGGGAGAAGATAGTCCTTCAGATACCTGGTCCCAAACCAAGTCGGGCTTTAAAGGTCAAAATCAACGTCAGGTTAATGCATTGCAGGTCCTCCGAGGTCAAAGCTCTTCTCTAATGTCTCATCATCAGTAGTAGCAAGTCTTTCACTGGGAGTAAATTCTAAATTGTATCTTAATCTCGCCATTGAGTTCAGACGTTTTGGACCTTCTGCTTTTGTGTTGGCTTCAGATGGATGCTTGGCTACTATATCCTGTAACATATACAGTGGTTTTTGTCTCAAATAGTCTGAATTTAGCCCCTGAAGTTCATGAAAATTAGGACTTGAGGATGAGCTCCGTTTTGAGATATCAATGTAACTACCTCAGAATAAATGGTGTTTTTCAAAGCTTCAAACACAGAAAGATCACTGCCTGTTTCTGGTCTGAATGTTTTTGTCACAGTAGTAGAATCCATGGAATCTGGCATGCTACTAAAGCTCTCCAGAGAGTCTTCATCAAATTCTCTTCTCCTTTCACTGCTTTCTAAGGTGTCCCAACTCAATGCACGAAAAACACCTTGGTGCTTTCCTCTCCGCTGTTGGTGACTTCACCCAACATTGGTTTCAAAGAATTTGCCTGGGAGGGGGGAGTAAAGCGTGAGTTTGCTTCTTCACCCAAAGAGTGATTAACTGTTGATGCTCCTGGGATAGCGGTCCCTTTACTTCTGGCTGCTTTCTGGGTTGGGGAGGGGACTTAGGGAACTCCCTCTGATGCCAGTCCAGATTAGTGCTGTAACTCTGCCCTCCATAGGCTTCAGCCAGTCACTCCGCCCATTGTCCTGCTTCTCGAAGGGTAGAAGGGCTCTTGTCCACCAGGGGGTACCTAATGTACTCAGGAAAAAGAGTCAGGAACCGATCAATGCACATCAGGGCCTTGACATCAGCCAGAGTCTTGGCATCAGTGACCTCCACCCACAAGTCATAGGCTTTTCCCAGTCTGTGTATTAACTGTGGGTAGGACTCTTTCCTTTCAAGTCTGATCTTTTTGAAGCGCTTTCGGGCCCTTTCTTTGGTGAATCCCACCCTCTCACGTACTCTCTGCTTGAACAGCTTGTAATCCGTTCTTTCTTCGCCTTCCATCTGCCCAGACACTGAAGCCAGGACACCACTTAACTGCGGTCTCAGCTTTTCCATGTACAGCTCTGAGGGGACCTTGTAGTCAATACAGACTTGTTTAAAATTCTGCAGGAAGGCCGTAATGTCTTCCCTTTCCTTGAACCAGGGGTACTTCTGACGGTCCTCTTTCACTGCGGCATCTGTGGAGATTGGCCCTTTTCTAGCTTAGCCATCTCAAGCTCATGTGCCAGCCTCATTTTCTCCCTTTCTAGCTACATCTTAGCTGCAGTCTCTTTCTCCTCCCTCTGCAGCCTTTCTCTTTCCATCTCCATCCTAGCTGCAGCTTCTTTCTCCTCTCTCTACAGCTTTTCTCTTTCCATCTCCATCCTAGCTGCAGTTTCCTCTTTCTCCTTTTGCAGCCTTGCTTTCTCTATCTCAAGCTCTGCCTGCTTAAGTTGCAGCTGGAGACGTTACAGCTGGAGGCTCTTCCGCCAGGCCTTTGCATAGGAGCCGCCACCGTCATTGTGCCACCACCGAGCTGCCATCTTTGACGGTGGATTAGACCTAGAGGTGAGCCGGCCCTGGGAAGACGCCTAGATGACCGAAGAACGTATGCTGTCAGGTTAGGTTGACAAATGGAACCCAACTTGGACTAATAAGACTTAACATCAAGAGCACCGCACTTTATTTAATTATTGTTTTTATGCTGTTTTAATTGTTTGTTATGGCATTTGCCTCTGTTGTTAGCCACCCTGAACCCATTTGGGGAGGGCGGAATATAAATCCAATTAATAAATAATAAATAAATAAAATATATAAAGGTCTCTTCACTCAGGGATGCCATTCTTTCTCTGAAGTGTCCTCCACTGACATGAGACCTGCAGCCCCTATTCGGGTCTTGGATCTGGCAACCGGCATGTCCTCTGATTTTTCCCCCCCAGATCGGAGGAACATGCACTATCTAACTCTGCCTCACTATCCAGTTGACCCGACAGCTAGAACATAAAGAAAACCTTTTCACCACACCTTACCAGACCCTTACTTGGTCTTGCAAGTACCTTCAAACAATGGGGCTTCCTTAAGCCCAAAAGCAAAAAAAAAAAAAAAAGAAAATTCTCTGCCAAGGCCAAATGGCACTCTGCCTCACCAGAGTCCAAAATTAGTCCATCCCACTGCTACAGCCACCATGTCACAGCTCAGGAGGGGTGTCACCTGATGCCACCATTCTGGTTCCAGGCTCCTCTGAGAAGTCCCAGAGCACCCTCCCAGGCCTTTAAGGAGTCCTCCCTTTTGAAACTTTTATTTAACAGAGGAGGACTATTATTAAAGGTTGTACAATAGCTTTTGAGATTCTTGGAGATGATTTTTGATATTTTTGATTAAGATGATATATGTAGAAATTATTGTAAAAATATTTTTCAAAAAATATAAAATTATTTATGATATAATCATCTGTGTACTTGTTGTATGTTGGTTTTCCTACTTACCGTGGGTCCTTGTTTGGTCTTAAAGGAGCCACAGGACTCAGAGTTTGCTCTCTCTCTCTCTCTGCCTCCTCCTTCCTTCCTCCCAAAGGAGGAGCCCTCAGTCAATAGAGGGAAGGGAGGCTTGGCTTGGAAAAAAGCAGGAAGCAGCAGGGCAAAAGCAAGCTGCGATGCAGCAGCAGCCCTGGAGAAGGAAACAGGCGGGAGTCTCAGAGCGGCTTACAATTGCCTTCCCTTCCTCTCCCCACAGCAGACACCCTGTGAGGTAGGTGGGGCTAAGAGAACTCTGAGAGAACTGTGACTGACCCAAGGTCACCCAGCTGGCTTCATGTGGAGGAGTAGGGGAATCAAAGTCAGTTCTTCAGATTAGAGTCCACTCCCCTTAACCACTACACCATGCTGGCTCTTCTGGAGTTTCCTTAGTTTCATAATTATCACCACACCATCCTTGAATAGAAGATGATGCCTCATGTTCTTGCCTCGGGTTTTTAAAATGAATCCAGACATTTAGGGGGGAAATACAATGAGCTGAAATTGAAGCAGACTATTAATTATGAACTATGAAACAAAGAAAATAGAGCAACTAAAAGCACTGGATTATCTATAAATGGGCCACAACTTGTTTAACGTATACAGGAAGACTTCAAAGTCTAATAGGATGAATCAAGAGGATATTTCAAACTACCTAATCAAAGACCATTTGCTAGGAGAAAACCTCTTAGACTGTGAAATTGACCCAAAAGCACTGAGTGCCCATTTTAGGAGACTGAATACAGCACACTGAACTATCTTCTATAGCTACAGAGGAAGAAGCATTTTTGTTCTACATTTATAAGCTCTACAAGTTAGCTTATAAAAAGAAGTGGCTTCTGACTAAATATTGAAGAATGTAAAAAATATCTCATAGTGAAAGCAAGCAATGACAGCCCCCCTCCCCCGCCACAATCAGTACCTTTTAAATAATATGGGTTGGGAATGAGTAGCAAGATGAACAAGTTTGCAAAAGGTAAATTAATCAGGATGGAGAAAAAACAAGCAACTGAGAAGTTCCAAAAAACTATGTTCAAGTCAGGTGAATGGACAACCAAAAATTGATTTATTTTTTACTTGCTTCATTTATACACCTTTTTCTTCCCAGTGGTGACCCAAAATAGCTTATGTTGTTCTCCTCTCCTACATTTTATTCTTACAACAATGTGACATAAATTAAGCTGAGAATGTGAGAGTGGTCCAAGGTTGCCCAGTGAGCTTTCATAGAAGAATGGGGATTTGCACCTGGTTCTCCTAGATGCTAGTCCAACACTCCAACTGCTACACCATGCCAGCTCCAGTTAAGTGATGCATTTTGGAACAAAAACTCCTAAGCATATAAAATGCACTGAAGAGGTTTAAACTGACAGCAATTACCAGGCACGAGCTCTTTAGGCTGTGGTTGACAGTTTACTGGGGGGGAAACCACTACTATGTGGTTGTCAAAACAGATAAATTCTATGATATGGATTATTAGAGAAGAGATAGAAAATAAGATAGTCAGCATCACGATGCCATTATAGAAGCTATGGTACAGGTACCTCTGGTGTACTGTGTACAGTTATGGGTGCCCCGTTTTTAAAAAGGACTACAAGTGCTGGAAATGGCAAACAAAATGCTCAAGTGGTAGGAGTGTCTTTCTTATGAGGAAAGGCCAAAGCATGTGGGGGCTTTCTAGCTTGCAAAAAAGACAGCCAGGGCAGGGCATAACAGAGCATCACCAAATTATTCATCATATGGAAAAGTGTACCCTTTGCCCCTTGTTATGTACTATCATGGCAACACAAGTAGCCTGTGTTTCTTTCTTAAGGAGCAGACCTGTCTCAACACAGAAGACAAAATAATTGTGAACTCTCTCACAGCTGGCAGAATAAGTCCTGCCTGAGGGGGAACTTGGAGACAGTCTTACGATGGAAATATCACAACCAGCCTCAAGCCTAATATTTCTTGTGAAAAAGGAAACAGGGATGGTCAGAGTGAAGAACACAGAAACCACTTTCACCAGTTGTTACGATTAGAAATGTGTATATCCTGGGATGTAACCTCTGAAAAGGAGCCTATTAATTGTACCCTGGGGGTGATTGACATTCTATGAAGGGTGGCCTGGGAATGTGAATCGAATGCTGACTCTTGTCCAGTACCATGACAGAGGATGGTGCTGGGGCTTGGGATGGAAGTGTGGCTGGTGAGCTCTGAAGTTCTGCACTCTCATAATGGTGAGTGTCAAACTGCTGGCACACTGCCCTACTTTTTGCCTTCCTGCCCCACCCCTGGCTCTGAAGGGCAACACATCCAATGTTTAAAGTTCAACACCACTGCTCACAGGTGAGATACTGCTTGATGGAGGGACCATTGTATCATGCAGGTTCAATGACAGTAGTGATATATCGGGGTGGGGAGCAAACAGATTGGTCTGTTTGCTGCTAATGGAGACCTAAGACATCAAAACCAACACTGATCAAGCATGCTCCCACAAAGTGACTCTCGTAGACCAGCAAAGCAATTACAACATGCCCACCTAATGAATATTTGGCAACTGGTGCAGGATCCAACCTTGTCCAAACAGAACAAGCAATGATTGTGGCCATCTATGGATGGAAAATTGCCATCATGCTGTAAACACTTTAAAAAATAAGTTTTGCAATGCCATGGACCAGCAAGAGAGGCTGAGGGCAGTTCCACAAGACAGAAAAGAAGGAAATTTTAAGAAGAAAGACTGAGAAGAAAGAACACCTACTGATTTAACAAACCAAGTGATGCTATTGCTGTGGCAGTCAAAAGGAATTAAGTGGGAAGGCATAGCTCTCTCCTCTAGTCATGTGCTCTAGCGCTGGGCTTGGGCAAAGCCAGAATCAGCACCATTAAAGTTGTTGCTTTAGAAGATTCTGAGCAGTCTGCAGAGGCACACAGCCCACAGGTATGACTGCAAAGACTATGAGGCTCCACATTCACAAGCAAGAGGCCATGACATACTGGTTCATGGGGGCCGACAATGGGGGAAGGATCCTGACTTGCCATCCTGATTGGCTAGACACGATCAAAGACAGAATGCAGGACTTCAGGTCTGACAAGGGTTCAATTATTACACAGAACATTTTAAAACCATCACTAAGTGAGATGGGATGAACAGGGAACTCTCCAACTGGAAAGATCTACAGAAAACACTTTGTCTGCACAATGATCTGTAGAAGTTCATGGAAAATTTTAAAATCATATAGCATGCCAGGGTTCCTGTAGCAATAATAATAATAAAAATCATAGTCACTGGAGCAAGAGTGCATGTAAAGCCACCAACCTGCACAGATAAAAAGTAGTCTTAGAGACCTCCTGCAGTTCAGCTAGGTTGCATTTTGTGATGTGTATGTACAATGAAAGGCTTTCCTTGAAACATGAAACCATTCAGACAAAGAGATGCTCCGAGAAAAGCCCTGGCAGGAAGCCAAGCTAGTACTACGAAGATCTTCCAATCCAAATAAGTCCTTCCAGCTTTAAAAGAAATCAATACAGACACTGAAGTCTCTTGCAACAACCACTAAAAGCTTTTATGTGAAAATCTTTAAGGATTTCCTTTAACAATGGTTTTTCCCATCTTTATTGGCTTCTAAGATGTACACACAGGATACTGCCTACGTTGGGCACATCTCAGATTGAATAAGGCTGATATTCTCCAGTCTTATGAAGCATCTCAGATATTTTTCCTTAAACAAAACCGCAGCTGGGATATCAACCAGGACTGGCCAGTGTATTAGCATTGCTTCACACTGAACACAGTACCACAGGCATGGCAGAGTTTAAGTGAACACTTCAAACCAGAAGAGGAGCTGAGTACCCCTAAACTCTGGAGGACATGTAATGTACACTCACTGAATACTGTGACTAGTCATGCTTCCACTATGCCTTTCCATCATACTTTCAGTGTTTGTGGCAGAAATGAATCCATAGTGCTATGTGGAATGGCTCTTATCTACTATTATCTCTCCTGTGTACACATATCTGGAAGAAATTTGCCCAACAAGAGCAGTATCTCATTGAAGAGGAGAAAATGCATGAAGGGGCTGAAACAGAAGGAAGTAAGGAGTATGTTATAATAGTGTGGCCCTTTACTCAGTGTAGCCCCATTTCTACCATAAGTAGACAAACCAATTCTATGCACAAATCTGCTTTTTAGACATCTACTACAACTGAGCTACTCTTTGCATTTTGCTACCAGATGGGATGCTCCACTTTGTTTCTGCTTGGTGAAAAAAAGGTTTGTTACCTACTGAAAGAACAATCAGCTTGAAGGTATGATCAGCACATCATTTCCTATTCATAGCATGGATAAATAGGTGGTTCTTACTACTGCATGTATAGAGACAGAATATCACTGTTTCTATAGCAGACTCTCATATTGGCATGCAGGGCACTAGGAATTAAAATAGCTGAATCCTAAGTACTGCTTAGCCTCCCTACACTGAGTAGTGCGTTGTGTGCCCAGCCCGTACTTCCACACAGAAGGGCAATGTGATCAAAATCCTGTGGTCAGGATTCTAAGGTACTTGGTTTTAAATGAACAGATGAAATTGTTTACTGCACATCTCTTTTTGCTCCCTAAAGTGGCTGTGAGACCCCAAAGAATAGTAGCAGGACAGAGAAAAGAGCTACTTGGTATACTACCACTACTTGCAACTCTGGGCAGAAGTTAAAAAGTTGTGAGAAACTACAGTTGAGCATAACAAAATATGTATGCATTGGGCAACTTATAACAGAAGTTCAACTCTACACAGACTGGACCCCCTATTATTGTGTTCATACACATGAAGAACCATGTCTTGATTTCTCCTAGTGATTAAATGAATTTCCTGACTTACAAGTAGTGTAATATTTTTTTCTGTAACAGAATCAAAATTCTCTTCACAGTTCCTTAAATACTAGCTGTCTCTTAAAGCAACACAGGATGTGTCTGCAGGAACTGAAGAAGTCATCCTCCCTTATCAACCACCTATGCAAGCACTGTCTCCATTATGTTCTTTCCACCATTGCCATATGGAAGTTGTGTACTGACCTGAGGTCTGAAAGTCTATCTGGATGGGGTTGGATAAACCATTGACTGCCTCTCGCCACATGCCTCCACCCCCTGGTGACCATGCAGTCACCACACAACGATACAGCCCAGCATCAGAAATCTGCGTCTGGTACATTCTGTAGCGGAACTCATTCTCCTGGACCTTCTCTAGGACCACACCGTCCACCCGGTCCTGGTCTGTCCAATCTTCCCGTCTGACCACTGAATCTTGATTGAGGGAAATGATGCGCATGGTTCCATTAGCATTTGAATGGTCATTCAGAGGCTTCTCCGCTGTAATGAGGACTGAGTAACGAGGACTTTTGATGTTCCGGGAAGACACCTTGCATGTCATTTCGAAGGTGTGCCCGGCCATGAAGAACGGCTTCAGTTTCACAGCTTCTACAGTCAGTGCATAATCTGAGAAGAGCAAAGAAGGCACAGATATAAGAAACAAGCAAAGGACAGATAAACATAAGCAGCAGCAAGGGATTAAAAACAGCCAGACCTGCAGTACATTTTAAGTCAAAAGTTTAGGAGTGCTTTGCAGCCTGTTACATGCACAGCTGCGGGACAGTGAATGTGTCTATGTAAGATGGCATTCAGAAGCAGCACGCTGCGAGTTATAACCGAAAAAGAAACAGCAAAGAAAAGGTAGGTGTGCAGAATGATTACATACTGAGAACTCATCTCCATGCTTCAAGTCCTAAGTGAGCTTTAACAAGAAGTCAGGGTTGCCATTTCACAGTAAAGAACGCGTGTGCAAATGAATCTAGATAGCCTTTAAGTAGGAAAATAACAGAATTTCTGATACAGAAGATTTTAGAAATAGTATTCACTTGCCCCTTTCAACAACTGACAGTTCTTTAAAGTATCTCTAAACTTAAGGTTTCTCACTCTCTTCTAGATATTTATCCAACATTTCCAACTGCATTTTATCAATTGTATGCTTGGTGCTTTTTATCCCTTTCACTTTTACAGGACTTTTAAGGCAGAATGGAAACAGGGTACCATATATATAGACTGGCATGGTGGTGACTTCTTGTCACCGGGTTCTTGAATGCAGGTAATTCCCAGGTCCAAGGGAGGTGAGGTTAGGGATTAGATTACATGCTTATTTTGCCACGATGAGGAAAGATGCCACCAAATCAATCACCCCTACTTGGACCCAGGTCAGGGGAGGTGCTTCTCCTGAAACAGTACACGGCTAGCTAGAAAGTCCTTCATAACATAAGCAGGAGGAGGAGACAACACTAGGAGCAGCTCTTTGCGTGAAATACCCGCTTTGGCATCAGATGAATGCTTCACCACAGTGGGCCTGGACAGAGGTGTTAGAGGGTATGTATGAAAACTGGTTTTCATAAAGTTCTGCTGTTATGTTTTGCAACATAGCCACCACCAGCAAGCTTCATAACCAGACATATCTGATGATAAAAGACATTTTAATACTGGGCCAAAAGGAGCATTTTCATGACATAAAAGTTAACTCTAGGCAGACCTGAGCCACTTCCTAAACTTGCATAATTGCGACCAAAATCAATTGTAGAAATAGTGCAAGCCAGACCCATTTTATTCCATATGGCCTGGTGACACAAGATCCCCATCAAAGATGCATGCCATTCCAAGAAATTGATGACTGGGATTTCCCTCAGCACAGATAGGTACTGTTTGTGTGTGTCTGAACATTTAAATATTTGGCTACATATTTATTGTGTGCATGATAGAAATGTAACATAAGCAGCTTAAGAATCCATGTACTTTAGCCTATGATCAAAATAATTTTCTTGTTTGAAAATGCGAAGGTTTAATCCAAGATTAGTTATCAAGTAACCCAACTTCTTATTTCAGAGAAACATAGTATACCAGAGATTAGTACATTTAAGAATACAGTTCAAGTATTAACATTAGATCAACATTAAACAAGACAGACATTCCGATTGCTTTCATAAAGACAACAATTCCACTGGGTCCCCAAACTGGCTGAAAGGAGTTACTGTGATCACCAATATGGTATCAAATTTCTGTGACTGGTCTACTATCCAGCAACTTATAGATATTATTTGCAAAAACTAGGAATTGAGCGACCATTACATGCAGTTCCAGGTTACAACACTGCTTCTTTTCCCTTCGTTTGAACTTCTTATTTTCTCTTTCCACTCAACCTGATCTCCATTTGCACAGATATGTCATATATTGAAAAAAAAGGCAGAATTCATGTTATTTATTGGCTCTTGCTAGCTTGGTGTTTAGAGCTGTTTATACAATAATACATTTTCTTCTAATAAAAACTGACTGCATATTAAACAGGAGGTGAATCTTTTACAAGGCCACAGGGAAATAAGATATACTGAGCTTGCCACACACTTCCCAAAATTAAAACTACATACAATAATACTTTTGTATTCCCTCAAGAGAACCGAAAGGTATTTGTTGTGATTACATTTTACAGTATTCTGCCTTCAAACAGCAGTTTTCACAATGAGTAAACACACCACCTAGAAGATGAGAAAACTGAGCATGACAACTATAGCAGCATCACCCAAAGATCATAGTGCAATACTATATAAAGGCAAGCGCAAGAAAGAAAAATATGCCAACTTGGCTGAGTACCAAATTGTTCAATATCCCACATTAAAAGTGTCACAGAGTAAAAAGTTGCACAATCGATTTCTTGGTTGTTATGAAAATCACTTTCTTTGTGCGCACAGTGAGGCAAGGATCTAACCTGCCCAAAGGCTCATCCAAGCCCCTCACCTCTGTTCCCACCCACCCCAGTAGCCAGAAATCCAGTATGCAAGTTTGATCAGTTGATCAGCACAGCAGCGTGGTTGGTTTATGCCCATATAAGGGACAGGTTGCTTGGGCCAGGGATGTGGTGTATATGAGATAAAAGGTCTGACAACCAGAACAATTGAAATATACACAATATTTACTTTCCTATCAAAACATAGCCCTTACCTGGATAGCCCAGGCTAGCCTGATCTTGTCAGACCTCAGAAACCCGCAGAAGGAGGGTTGGCCCTGGCTGGTATTTGGATGGGAGACCACCAAGGAATACCAGGGTCGTGACCAGGAGGCAGACAATGGCAAACCCCCTCTGAATGGCTCTAGCCTTGAAAGCCCTAGGGGGTTGCCATAAGTCAGCTGTGACCTGACAGCAACAACAACAAAAAAATCAAAACATGAACCTATTTTGCTGCTTTATCATCATAAGATGCATCCTTTATAACATAGCACATAAAACTGTATGCAATTTAAGAATACAAATGCTTCAGCTTTTTACAAGCAAAATTGCAAATATATCCAATCCTAATAAAAGAGAGTTGCAAACTACTGCACCCTATACTTTAGCATATTTCATTCATTCTAAAAGGCCTGTTTCTTAAGGGTATTTTTAATCAGATCTTCCCAAAATTTCACGAGGAAAATTGAAAAAATCCCCCCCAACATCTCTTGTCTCCCCCCCCCTCATGCTTTCATATTCCTATACACATTCTACACCTATCATTTCTAAACAGGCATAATCAGCACTAAACAGTTCACAGATGCTCTTGAGATTTTGTCAGTCTGCTACAGTTTGTCAGTCTGCTGCTGGTTGTTTTGTATCCATTTTCATTGACCAACCCCTATAGCATACAACAAGATTGTACTTACCTGCAACTCTTGTTCACCCAGTGGTCTTCTGTGCAGGCCCACACTGGGAACTCCCTCTCCCTCTCTGGCTTCTCTGGAATCTGACCAGAAGTCTGGAGGTGTACCCTGATGGGAGCCTCTTTTAAAGGCTTAGTTATGCCTGACTGAAGGAATCCTTTCCTGTCTGTCCTCAGTTTCAAGGCGACACCCTTAGAGGCAAGGGTTAACAGAGCCTTGCAATTTTCAATGGTTCTTTGTGAAAGAAGGGTATTGTATGTATCAGAAGGGTATTGTGCCTTTTAATTGGGGTTGTCTGAACCTCTTCAGTCCCTGTAGTTTTGGAAAGTTGCCGAAGTGGGTGGAGTTTCCTGTTCTTGTCATTAGTTGTTTTTCTGAGACAACAGACTAGTTATGCTTAAAGCCTACTGAGCTTGATTTTACTACTCACTCTATTAGGACCGCCTCAGTTCCAGGGTCAGAACCGATTCTCTGTTTATCTTGGCTCCAAGCCCTCTTGCTAGTGCCTAATTCTAAAGGCTGACACATTGGCACAGCAGCCTGGGTCCACCACCTCTCTCAGTACTGAAACGTAATCCTAAAGGGCTTTCCCCACACTGTCAGTTTCATGTATGTCCAACACTCCCTTCTTCCTACTAGGGAATGGTATGGCCCCTCCCAGGGATTTCAGTCTCACTGCTGCTTCTGGGACAGAGCTCTTACTTCAACTTGGTTCTGACTTTCTGTGGAGTCACTCTTACGTCTCAAGGAGGGCATCTAAAAAGGCCAATGCTCATGTGTGTTTTAGTCTTCAAACTTTTGCTCGGCTGTTTTGTTCACAGACATCTCTACCCTGCCTCTGGGGGGGTTGAAGTGGCCAGTGGCAGAATTCCAGTATTCCCCTTCATTAGGCTTGGCTGTTTTACAAAATCCACAGTGATCAGGGTGACCCATATGAGACTGCTATACTGTTTCCCCTTGCTCTGTTGATGGTCGGTTGTTGATCCTTTCCAGGGCAACCCTTTTTATCCTTATTTTTCTAAGATTGTTATTTTTCTCAGGGTGGTTCTTTTGACTCTGAGCCTCAGAAGTTAGTGTAATCCCAGATACCTCCTCCCCTATAGTGTGGGGACCAAGCTGTAGACATGTGTCTCCTAGTGGCTCCTGGTCTTCTGCAAAATTGTCTTTTATTTAGTACAAACACTTCATGTAGTCATGGAATACACTACAATTATGTTTTCCTTGACTGATGCAGACCAACTCCCAGATACTCTGATTGGAATCTTGGGCTTTTTGCCCTTGCCCTATAATGGGACATTCCGTGCCCTTTCCTTTTTTGCTGCTCTTCTGACAGGGACTCTTGCTATTGGGAAATGCCCTTCTAATCCTTCAGCAAGGTAATTTGTTTTTTAATGGCTTTTTTTCCCCTCTGGCTGCTTTGCTGCACAGATTGCTCTGCAAGCTACAGAAGATTCACTAATGGTGCCTACTGTCCATCCTTTCTTCAGCCACATCACCAGTGTTCCCTCTAAGCTGAGTTAGGGTGAGCTAGCTCACAGTTTTTTAGCCTCTGGCTCACAGATTTTTTTCTCAGCTCAGGAAGGATGGCTCCAGAGCACCCTGATTTAATGCAGCAGCCAAACTGCTCGCTCAGAAGTTTAATGCCAGTAGCTCACAAAGTAGAATTTTTGCTCACAAGTCTCTACAGCTTAGAGGGAACATTGCACATCACACCTGCTTCACTGCTTCCATTGTTATGGTGCAGTTCTGCCTATTCTTATTCCTGCTGA